GAAAACCAAAGTATAAACAAAATTAAAAACGTCTCAGAATGATGAATGAACCCATGACCTTACAACAAAGAAATTGAGTCATACACAGAAACACTTAAAGTTTATCATCACATACACCAGTTTACTTGTTCACAGAAAGTAATACATTACATTGCAATTCACACATTCCTTCTGTAGATCTGACATTGAGGTAACTATTCCTTGCACTGAAATTCCATGAAGACCCATATTTCTTGTACTGTCAAGATAGTTTATGAAGTTTGGAATACTTTCTATTAATTCACTCTTTTGTTCACATACAGAAATCCCTTTGGCATGATGCATAAATACCTTGTTAAGGACTTCAAGTTCTACGGACAAAACTTCTTTTTTTATACCATCAGGTACGTAAATTTCCCACATCTCATTCATGATGAAATTCAACATGTGACAATTTGCAAGTGGTAACAATGGTTTTAGATACTTCATAATTTCTTCAAGCCTACTAATGATCTCTGCTTGCATTTTGTCAAAGATTGCTATTATCATCATTTAAAATGAAAATTTGCTTACTTCTGGAAATGTGCCATCTATTTTGAGTAAGGCACAAGCTTTCTTGAACCTAGCTCCCACATTGTCATGAGCAGCAATTATATCAACATCTTCCACATTAGAAGGGAAATGGTTTCTGACATCCGACACTTTCTGGAGGGCACTGACTACTTTATCTGGTATAACATGTTTCCTCTTCTTACTAATAATTAGCAATATGTCTATCACACCTTTATAATATCCTATTTCAGCACCTCGATGGTAAACCAAATGGAATCCTTCCACTTCTTCTTCAAAACATCCTTTCTGGAAACGATCCCTACAGAGATGTTCTTCACTCAGAGCACAGAGTTAAACACATCATTGATATCAGCAGTTTAATCGTTAATTTCCTTCATAGTATGATCAGGTGCCATTTCAAATTTTTGTCCATTTGACATTCGTCACTGTAGAGAAATTTCCCAAATTACTCCTCATGGTTACAAGTTAGAATTTGTTTCTTTCCAATAGTATGGTGAATCTACAATTCAGAACTGAAATGCAATAACACCCTTCAGTATATTCCAAATAAAGTATAATATACAAATTTTGAAGCAAGTTTCACCACCAAAACAGTAAAAAGGATATCTGACAATAACGAGTGGATTGCTAAGGCTGCAGCATGAGATGCTGGGATACGGCCACAGTCAATTTCGTTAGGTCACCACAAGTCGTGAAAAGTCAGGATCTACGTATTCACAACACAAGTCAGTTTTGTGTCAATATAAGCGTAATATCGGAGTTCATTAAAAGAAGATTGTTTAAAAGTTTGTGACAATGATTGACTCACTGCAGAAATACTGTGTTAGATTTTCCATTTTGTGAGTCGTACTTGATATATATGACGTTACACGGCATACAACGCGCTTTAAAGCAATTTTGCGTAAGGCATAAGTCAACACATTAATTCTTGAAACGCGTCTTTTTGAGACCCTTCATATTGTGAGGCCTGAGCTTTGGTTTAGTTAGTTTATTCGTAAGTCCGTTCCGGGCCACAGACAATGATTTAGGCTAAACTCTTCTTCAGCAGTTCAGCTGTCTGGGTACAACAGAAACGTACAACTCAACACCTTACTTGACTCTGGAGTATATGAAACCCTTGTAAAGAATAAGATTTAAACAATCGAAAGAAAAATACAAAAGCTTTCATCCAAGAAAAGATTCCATTGGGATAGCCTACACATATTTTCAAAACGAGACTTTTGCTAGTTTACGCAGCTCAGTGGTCCTGACGTTAATTTATTTCAGACGAAGCCCTATCATTTAAAATCAAATAAACAGCATAAAAGCAGGGTCCGGCAGAGAAGACTATTTACGTCTGTAAATAAATTCTCTTCAACTGAGTAAATAGTACAAAGCGGCATATTACCACTGCACAGAAAGTGTGGGGCCACGTCTCGAAGACGCAACTCATCACATAACCTCACAAGGGGCTGACAAATTAGGAGGTTAGACGATGTTGAAGTTGATCATAACGACGACCTTAGCTATTACTAATTGAAGAATAAGACTGAAGAAAATTCGTGTCTGGAGGTACCGATTCAGGAATGTACGAAGTGAATGGCTAAGATTTGAGGAAAAGGGACACAGAACTTGAACTCTTCAGATGCCAGTGTTCGACTCGAAGAGATGATTAATAACAATAAGAACAAATATGGGAGAAGAGATTTAGAAGGAGTGGGATCGGGCAGAGGCGGATTCTGCGTGAAGTCTGCACTGGGACTCAGCGCAGGTGGGTTATTGCCATAGGCAGGATTTTAGGGTCTGTAGCCGTAACCATGAGACCATAATGATACTTGTGGTGTGCCGATATTAACATCATCTACAATTCCACATCTCAGACAGAGACGCAGCGAAGGAGACGTGGGGCCTAGAAAATTCCTTCGTACTCTTTTCATACATTCCACTCTCGTATTTTCCATATTTTCCTCCGCTTCAACACCATCGTCCCTTCACCACTTTGCTGCAGAAGTTTTCTAATTCCCATTCAGGAAGACCATCACTTCGGTCACACCAGTTATGCTCACTTCTGGTTTTACTTTCACATTTTACACAAAGGATCCCGAACGAAGAGTCGGATATTTATTGCTGGTATTTTGATTTCATGCTGATAAGCTGATTAATGAGATACTCTTGCTATTTCATCCATTACGTCAGATTACGCACTGGCTTAACTAAACACTCGATGCTGTAACATATGCAGGGATATTGCAGTATGTACTTAGAGAGAGTGTCGCATACCGACACAGTTCTGCTTGTTCTGTACAGTGGCGACATCTTGAGGCAGTTGCGCCGCATAGGTGAACTCCAGTTTGGCGTTCATGTGTGTTATATGCGTTATTTACTAATTGTATTTCTCCACTGGCTATAGTATTAGAGACAGAACTGTGCTGTTCGAAAGTTAATCAGTATAGGTTATAAATAGGTACTACACTACATGAAGGCGTGAAATCCATCACTCAAAAGTTGATCAAGAACATGCATGCAAGGGAAATGGAGGATCGCTCCACGCATTCTTAATCTTCGCTCTGTGAGGTTAGCTTCATGTCCCGGTTATTTTACCCCAGAAGAATAGAACCTCGGCACCCATTGCATGCGAGGTTGGGTAGGCCCCATTAGCCGTCTGGACATTGTGACGAACAGAAAAATCCACCTGGGTTCAACCTATCCTGATAATACAACGCGTAACTTTTGTTCTTTGTGGATACAAAGCAGCAAGACTTTTAAATCAACAAGTTAGAAAATCTACGCACTCTGCAACAATTTTGGCGCGTTCGTCACAATTTAACTATTGCAAATAGTGTCAGTGATGTCGGAGTTACCTGGGGTCAAATGATCTTTGCGTGGGCGGATTGTCTGGTGCCTGTTCGAGTGGTCGAAGACGTCATAACGGGGTTTCCCGAAAGACGTTCTGCGTGATTTGGCATATGGGGATTCCCGCCCAATCACTTCCGAGTGCAAGAAGGCATGTAGATCTGCATAATTGTTATCTGATTTGAACCAAAATGTTAATCGGTTCTAAACTTGTTTCATGCAGCCAGACACACGGACACAAAAATATGTCGAAGCTAATAGACACATTTTTGCAACTTTCAGTTACCAACGCTCCTAAAGCGGGTGACCGTTTGGTGTTGCATCAAGTAAGGAGCAAAGACAAAGTAAAGTCACTGTCTTTACGCTTGGGGGAGTTTTGCATGCACCAGGAGGGTGAAAAGGAAAGCCAGGTAGGCAGCCACGCGTCGTAGAGAGTAGTTGCAGTAGTCAGCGTGGAGTTGTGGCGACTGGAACTCTGTTCGTAATGAACTGGGACCCTGTGTTTCAGCTGTCATCGTTGACGTCTGAGTCTTCAGTTAGGCTATCAGGTAAGATACAGTGGCGTTAAGTCTAAGGCTTTGCAAAATAAACTAGTTAGTATCCATTAAAATAACCTCTTAACCAACAAATCAATTACTCAACACACTAATATATTATATATCCGATCAATCAACTGATCAACAAACCTGTCTACTAACAAGTTAACTAGCTAACCTGTTTACCATGATACCAATAAATTAACAAACCATTAAACTAGACAAGTAACCAAGAAATTTACAGGCTACTTAATTCATATTCTTCCATGGAAAACTGTCCAAGACAAAAATGGCTTCCCAGTGTCACCATCTGTTTCGTTTTCGTCCGTTCTCCTCATCCATATACGCTCTAGCTCGGAAATGTATAAATGACAAAAGTGTCCCGTTAATATTTCAGTCGATTTTAAAGACTTTTTATTTTGCGAGTGATTTTCTTTTGCATAAGAGAAAATATTTCTATCAACATAACGAAGCCTGTCATATTTGATCACATCGGATGATTTAGTTAACCATTGGTCGTCGACTACAATTTCCCGGAGGAATGGTGATAGAAGTCACCAACATTTAAGAGTAATCGTAACCCGCCGAACACGCGCGGTGCAACATGGGAACCCAGTACACGCCTACACTTCCTGGCTCTCAAGAAACTGAATTCCAAGACGAGATTTCTCTAAATAGGAATGCGACAGTCGGGAGAGAGGGAAAGCTAATCTCCATAACCTTCAAGCGAAACGACAAACACGAGGATTGCCTACCTTACAGGTGCAGATACATTGCGGGCATTCCGGCTTCGGATTGCAGTAGAAACTATATTTACCATCTGTTTCCCTCTAAGTACGTCTGTATTTCACCCACATAGCATATTTAAATATCTCGTTTGGTTCTCACAATAAACAACAACTGTCAAATGAAAACTGAGAAACTGAGCTTTGAAAACAAGACGAGATATATTTTCTGGGAGACAGTCGTTAAGGTAAACCGGGGTAGGTCAGTTAGTAAAGTGGCTGGGCGAATAGAGTTTAATCTCCAACAGGGACAAGAATTATTTTTCTCCAGACCGGCTTCAAGTTCTACCCAGCCTCGTATCCAACGAGTACCAAGGGCTCTTTTCTAGGGTAAATCAGCCGTAGCGCCAAGCTAATCACTCACAGCTATCTACTGCTAAGGTAATGGCGTACTATTTAAAGACAAGGAAACATTTACCTTTAATTTTCCGCCGATTATTTCAACGATCCTCTGTCAGTCATAATTTCATCAGAGCTCAATATTTGTCATGGCCAATACGATAAGTTGTGACTGGGATTTAATAATGCGAAGGTAAAAACACAAACTTTAATTTATACGTTTTGATTTTCCGCCAAGTATTTCAGTATATCAGTCATAATTTCATCAGTGCTCAATATTTGTCATGACCAATAAGATGTACGATAAGTTGTGACTGGGATTTAATTTAATAATGCGAAGGTAAAAACACAATCTGTGAACAACTTCCAGAGTCTGTTTGTTTGTTTGATCTCCTTAACGACCGGATGGAATATGCTGTTCAGAGTGCCCACTATAACGCCAGATTGACATGAAGCGAAAATAAAATTTTACATATTAAAATAAGCAGTGTTTATCGTACAACATTGTGTTAAGATCCTACTAAGGTTTATAAATTTTATTTAAAACTTTTTTTTGAATCAGTGAATATTTAACGAAAATGTGTCAAGATCCTACTAAGGTTTATAATTTTTATTTGAAACTTTTTTTGAATCAGTGAATATTTAACGAAATAGGCTGTAAAGGAAAAATAATTTCAGCCTCTGTGTAATTTAGAAGCATTGTGATTAGTTCTATAACAACAGATTCGTATCTGCAATAATAAGCCTCTGTGTAATTTAGCAGCATTGTGATTAGTTCAATAACAACAGATTCGTATCTGCAATAATATATTCCAATTAAATACGAAATATAATAAAGAATATATTTCGAAACACATATTCCACAGTTATTTTATCAGTGATTGAGGTAACGGACTCAACTATTAACGGCGAAATTCTGAAATGTTAAACATTATGAAGGGGAAAAATGCAACTCACGACTCCTTCTTCTAATATGATTATGAAAGAAACGGAAATGTGTGGGAGATGGTAGTGAAGTCAGCTGTGAACTGTTGAGTGAACTTTGTTACGTAAGAGCTTGCTAATCATCAACCTGAGTGATCGCTTCACATTCCAGATTCTTGGTTCAAACAGCGAAGTCGCAAACTATTCCACGAATCAAGTACGAGTAGCGAAGGGAGTTCTGGAAACCAGGTAACAACAATGAGTTCTGGGAATAACTTATGACGCCTACATTTCTTCAAACGCTTCGAACTACATATAAACGTTAGCAGGAATTATGACCTATTAATTCCAGCCTACAAATAAGCAATTTGATGCTGAAGATGTTAATTTACTTGAAGAAAACAGCAACACAGAAACGCTACAACATGGCAGTAACGAGTCTGTTATACAAATAAACGTTTTGAGATAATTAACTATAAGTGTATCTTCATATCACCGAATACAGATATGAAGTTAATAGTAGATCTGATAAAGAAAATATATTTATGAACCTCGTATCTTCTCGTGTCTGATATAAAATCATAAATCTTAAAATATGTAAACCTGTAACTTTACCTGATATTTTGTTTGGGTGCGAAACTTGGTCTTTTGTTCTGAGCGAAGTAAGTATAATGCAAATAACTGAGAACAAAGTTCTGACGAAAATATTTTGATCTGAAAAAGATGAAAGAACAGAAATGACAAAATTACGTAGTAATTACCTTTATATTTTGTACCCTTCACCAATGAAGAAATCAGTGAGAACAAAATGGGCAGATGGTGAAGATTATAAATGCATATAAAATTCAGATCGCAAAATTAAAAAGAAGCCATAATTTGTGAGCAGCAGGTGTGCACAGATAATAATGAGACTAAAATTGGATAAACTGAGTGTAATGGTGTATAATGTGTTAAGAGAGTTCAGCTGAATAATAAGTTCCTGTCGACAATATCCACTACGGATTCGCCCTACCGGATACAAAATCCTTACGAAATCGTGTATTCCAAACTTGAGCGCTGTTGTGACTCGCCTGTAACATGTCCTATGTATTGCAGAACCGACAAAGACAAAAAGTTAAAAGTTACTCATACAATGAACTACGAAGTCTATGTTGAAACCACAAATAATACTGCGCGCGCTCAGCTGTTCTCTAGTTACACAATATGGCAGCGGTACGCAACGGCTGAAAATACGGTTACGTAGAAAGTAATGAATCTGCCTACAAATCAATGCTACTGCAATATACCAGACCTACAGACGTCCTTGGGAAGACGTTCAACTCCACTGAGTTATAAGGAAGATTTTTCAGACCAGGAAGTGTTGCCAAGATGCAATGTTCTTGATTTATAACCTTCCACACAACCATTTTGCTGTGTTGTGGTTGGACTGGGAACAAAGGTAGGGAATATCATGAGGTTTGCTGGACTACATCAGGGTAGATGACCTCTTAATTTCATGGGCCGATCTTTTAGCTATTAGTTGACCGCGGAGACATAGGGGAAAAAGGGATTCTTGGTTAATTCTTTGCAACTTGCTTATTTCATTAGGGTTCTATCAGACCTCATTCTATGCTATCAGATATCATCAGATGATGAAGTGTTTTAAAACAACAGAATAAATGAAAAGTTTCACTGAGGTAAAAGTTTGATTTTTTCAGATGTCCAGTGATGGGCAAAAGATGGTGCTACAGCTTGTGCTGCCCCAAACGGGCGCTGAAAACATTAAACAAGAGCCACCCATAACACCGGACTATATTCGTTATGGTAAGTTGACTGTACTCCATTAATACTTTCACAACCAGCACTCAGATCACTTTTTCTGTGCGTACCTCACATTACGATGCAAATGGCTGTTGGTCACATTTAAACATTTCCCTTACGAAAAAATTATTACAGTTACTAGTTTGAAGATTTCGTCAAAAGACAGCTTTAACGCGGTTTACTTAGAATTGTTGACCGTTCACTTTATCTAATTACACTGCGTAGCAGAATTTAAAGACATATGAATTTCGACCAACAATTTATTTGATTTAACCGTTGACAAACACCAATTACGTAATGCATTGTTAATTATAATGCAATTTATCATAGATGTGGTATGAAAAAAATTTCTAAAATTAGTAAATCTAAAAATGGTTATTTGTTAAATGTGACAAATATTATATTTATGGTGATTAAATAAATATTATCTCAATGGTACATGCAGCAATCAGAGGGGAAACGAAAAATGATGACATAGTTTTGGTTGGATATGAGCCGGGATAGCTCAGTCAGTATAGTGACTAGCTACGGGCTGGACGACCGGGGTTCGATCCCCGACGGGGGCAGAGGATTCTTCCTCTAGCCTCTGCGTCCAGACCGGCTCTGGGGACCACCCAGCCTCCTCTACAATGGGTACCGGGGTCCTTTCCCGGGGGTAAAGCCGGCCGGGGCGTGATGCTGACCACTCACCCCCATCTAGTGCCGAGGTCAAGGAAGAGAGGAGCTATACCTCCACTCACCCCAAACGCCTACATGGCGTAAAGTGGGATAAACTTTACTTACTTTTAGTTTTGGTTGGATATCCTCAATGGAGATGCGAATTGAATTGAAACGACTATTGTGAACACGGCTATGAACACTGAACACCGAGATTCTTTAAATAACAGGAATATTTTGACCAACTCAGTAACTATCGACTGGTCAAGAATACTGCAAAACCAGTGCGTTAGTTTAACAAATGCACTTACTGTCTGGCAATAAAATCGAAACATTTAACACGGCTAATACGAAAGCCACCATTAGATACTGTAAGACTACTGAGTCAATTCTATCCACCTCCCACCAGTATGAACTAATCGTATTTCTTCAATATTCTCCTTAATGTTGTCTTTCTATTTTATTATCGGTTTTTAATCGCTTCATTCAGAGAAGTTTACCCACCAAAACACTGTGTCAATGTCTTGTAATCTCCATTCCAGCTACATGTCCAATCCATCGCCATATTCTAGATTCATTATCCCAACACTCGTATAAATAACTGGCTCCTCGAAGCAGGATTTTAAATGAGAAATTGACAAAAGATTAGCGAGTCAAGAAATTATTCGTGATTTATGGAATACTAAGGGCATTGCCGTGTCCACAGAAGCCTGATACTTGACCCTATCCTGAGCTAGAAGAATCCAATCCTAAATTGTTTAAGATACATTTTAATATCATCCTCAGATAAATAGTAGTCATCTGATTTATCTAAATGTAAAGTATTCAGATAATCGTATTCCTGTAATATCGAACCCTGTTATTACGATTTTGCGTCGTTTGGCTGAACTAAAGCTCCTTTGTATTGGATAACAGTCATTAGTTCCGGTAGACACTCGACAGAAGTAAAAGCGCAGATGAACTACAGGAAAGTGAAGGGAGAAAGTTGTGACGACAAACGGTTTTTGCACTGTATGAGGACACTTCCACGCCTAGACGCTTTAAAACATTTGGCTTTCTGAAAAAAAAGGTATGACTAAAGCTAACCTACTTCAGGGCTGAGAATTGAACCAGTAACCTGGCGAGCATGAAGTACGAATGACGACCATTGCAAGTCATCGAGCATTACAAACCGTTAACTCTGTCTTCCAGCCTTGGTCTACTGTCCCGTTGCATTTTGCAAGGATCGCTGGTGCACGATTTTACAAAGGACCACAGCAGAAATAATTTTAACGTGAACATTGTGTACTGTTCAAAAACTTTATCAAAAAGAATATTATGATTGTGCTGAATATACTATCTGTACTATTTATCAGTCGTTAAAACCGGCATGTTAAGTCCAATGAATAGAAACTGAGACAAATGAGCTAAATAAAATTAATGGAAAAGTGACAAAACACTTAACGACAACTATACTAAACGGCTTCACGCTTGCCAGCTATTCTTCTTTCCTTCCGTGACTAGAGGCATTTTGCTTTCGTTTACACAAAAATGTTAATTGAAAAGTCTCCACGATATCGTAACAAGATACGTTATAATAAATGTCAAACACTTCAAGCAAAACGTAGGAACCAACTTAATTACTAACCTGGTTCGACAAAGCATATATTACTCTGAGAATCAAAGCCACAACTTTTAAAATTATTACCTATATCATATTATATTATTAGGTTACAATATTAGAAGCCTTGCAATAGGCTGATCCCTGATCTAAGGATTAATACGTTATGTTTAAAGGATGCTTTTCGTCAGAAACAACCCTGACTCCATACATGCCAAAACGACGTATCTATAAAAAGTAGAGGCGACTGAATTTTCTATAATAGTTATCACTACAGGCCGAGTCGTAACCCAAGAGCTTTAGTCACAGGCTAATCGCAGAAGCTCGGATTGAATACCAGGGCAGTTGATGTGGAGTTCTTGTTGGACATTTTGGCGCTATGACAGGAAAGAATTTTTCAGAGAAGGCCCACTTCGGGCTTCACCTTCCAGTCACAATTTTACCAATACTCCATACTCATCTGCTACTGCCTGTGATGTTCAGAAGTCCCCGTAAGACAGAACATTATCACAACCTTGATCTTCAGTTTCGGCTACACCTGTGACCTGGCACTTGATTTTACTCACAGTTGGCCTAAATATAATAAATAAACTTCTCTTAGAGTTTGAAGAAGTGATCAGTAAAATCTAAGAGAAACCTTAATAATCTTTCCAAGTTATGGTTTAAGGGCAGGTTCTTTTGATGATGTTGAATAATTATAGTATACGATAATAAGTTATCAAAGAATCTCTTTACCAGATGCTCACGAAATACCGCGTACCACGAAGTTAAGCTTGCACTATTTCTTGACATTAAAAGACAGATTCCCAGTCACTCCGATCAGAACAATATGGTCACTTACACGGTTTTAAAAAAATAGTTGATTTGGTCCGGAAGCAATTACTAAAACACACACGGACATGATATATACATCATTAACAACTCGTAGTCCGGGAAATTAACTCATTATTACCCAAGAGTATGGTCAAAAAATTAATCAGCTTTTACTCAGTATCTCTCGTAGTTACTGACGTAAGAACAGACTTGTCACCTAGATTGTGACGGATTTAATTTTCTAGTCACTGAACACAAAGATCAAACAGCTTAGTATTTGGTAGAAATTTATTTTCTTGTAGCAAAGAAATTTACAATCCCGTGACCGTTAGAGCATAACCACAAAATAACTGGCTTCTATGTTGCAATGCATAATAATACTCGATTTTCTGTCAAACTGTCATGACTTGTGAGAGTCTTAACTTTACAGTTACTTATTTGAAACAATTAGTACTAATGTAAGGTGGGGGTAAATACATCCTGTTTCCAAGCATCACGTCATAAAAATTAACAGGCAGGTGCAGAGTAAAAATTATAACCTTAATTTCAGATGTTAAGTAAAGTTTAGAACTTCAGTATCTCAGTCCACACATTCAATAAACAGGCTTTATGTGCCAAGTATAAGAATCCTCCAATGAAAGTTTTAAGTGTAAATTCAACATGGAATATTCATAAATAAACGGAAAGTAAAATCTTGCGTGTGATATAATTTAACGCAAAGTCAAATTACATATTTTATACCAATTTCAAGTTAAAACGTGAGTACCAACGCTAAGTTTAACCTTTCAATAACATGTTGATGTGCTGATGTGTGTTAAGTCAATATTTTGAATATGAATATTGAATTAATATTTTTAGTTTGATGATTACGCTAAGACACGAGTACAAATTTCGAGTTTAATGTTCCGAGTAAAAAGGAGTGTCTAAAAACAAGCATTAAGTAAAATTTGTCAAATACGAAATTAGAATTATTAATTACATATACACACATTAAACACAATTCTAAAATTATGTTTTTGAATGCAGATTCCAGTTAAAATATTCAATACATTACAGTTCCCAGTGCAAGCGATGAGTTAAAATGTTCAGTTCACAGTTCATCTATGTTAAGGATTCTGAACAGACGTGCTAATTTAATTTTTCGACAGACATGTTTAAAATAACCATTAAATCACACGCAGATAATCGACAAATATTGACAGAGGATTTATTTCACTCTGAGACATTTGAACAAACAAGGCCAAAGTTTCTGAACGGCTTATCTTCTTTGTAGCATAGGACATGTCAATATGTTGTTTTATCTTGCTGCAGATCTGTTCAAACCTCGGAAGGGTTACCAGAACACACATGCACATTTCTTTCCGAACGCCCAGCAGTCTGATTGCCTGGGTAGGGGCCTCAGACACTCCAGCTCTGACATGTGCATCCCAGATGCAAGCGAACTGACCGTGACGTCCCTGGAAGGTTCTGTCTGTAACCTGGACCGAGCAGACCCTCCGCCTACTCCTCCGGAGGAGAAGATCAAGATGTTTAGGTCAGTTTGGTGGCGAATTAGGGGAACGATCAAATACGCTACTGTCAATTTTATCGAAAACGTCCCATCAAGCGAACAAGAATGGAAAGTGTGATCATTCAAGTTTAAAGTTAACTTCTACAAAATTCTCACATTTTTTTTTCTTGAGTTTTTGTTCACTTATTACAAATAAACTTTCATATATATTCTGACCAACATAATATGTAGTAACTTAGAACTATAGTATGAGTAGGTGTTAAATTTGATTTATTATGCTAAGAGAAGCACACACATTGTGATAATTTCTAAACGAAGTACAATGGAGAATAAGTGACCATCTACTGATCACCAAGATACTATTAGGGCGATGAAATCAGACAAGGCGAGAGGGCTACTTGGGGGGGGGGGACAGGTAAACATACACAGGCCTGCAATATTTTAGTCGGGAAACCTGAAAGGAAGAAACCACACGGGAGAGATGTAAAGGATAACATTAAAACGAAGCTCAAAGTATGTATGTGTGAACTGGGTTAGACTAGCTTATTAAGTGTAAACGTACTGGTAATTAAAGATGGCTGTCTTCTGAGTTGTACCGTCTTGTAGAGTATCATTAAGTCGATGGGTTAAGACTTAAAAAAAAAACACCATGATCAAATAGTAATGTGTCATATTCGCAGGGGCTACCTGACCGTGATTCTGAGCTGTGTGTATGCAGTGTTCATAGTGACCCTGGGGGTGGTTATCTATGTCAGCGACGTCGCCTTGCGGAACGGAACTCCTCTGGCTGAGGTAAGGTTGGCATACTTGACATCATGTAATTTTTTCATGGGAGGGGGGAGGAAATCTACGCTCTGCGCCATTCTCTTGGCGGTCGTGTTAGCCTCCTTTGTGAGGATTAAAAGGACAGAATAGAATAATATGGATTACTTAGCTTATGATGTTAGAGATGGCAGGACACGTTGCTTTCACTGTTCTTCAAGGATAAAAAGGACTTTGCAGGGATGAAGTGACAGGAGGTTGGAGAGCAGTGTGTATGGAGAAGTTTCATAGTTTTCACTCTTCATTACATATTATTCGGATTATTAAATCAAGGAGGGCGAGAAATATGGGTCATATAGCATGCATGCAGATGACAAATGCTATGGGCAGCTAAAAGGGAAGAAATCATCCGGAAGGCCTAGGCGTAGATAGAAGGATAATATTTGTGTGAATTGGATTCATGTGGCTAATTATAAGGACCTTTAACGTGTTCTTGTGAACACGGCAATGAACTTATGGTTCTATAAAACGCGGGATATTTCTTGACCACCCGAACCTACTATCAGCTTGTCGAGTAAGATTCTTCTCAATGGACATAGTTCGTTATGTATTCAGACAACAAGGACGAGTATTCTAAGCTAGGATAATGCCTCAAAATTAACCATCCGGCGCTAAATAGGACGTCAGATACCGACAATTTTATTTAAACCATAAATAACAAATACAATTTTTGTCTCTATTATTTTTCGGATTTTGGAGTCAGGTTTGTTGCATGGTATCAATTAATTATAATTTTTTCCAGTTTTACGCAGGTAATTACATATAACAATCGGACCAGGGTTATTTATTGTTGTTGATGTTGTTATTGTTGTGTTATGTTGTTGTTCCAGACCTTCAGCATCTACCTCGTTGTGTTTGGTCTTGCCTACTTTGCCTTTCTGTACGCGGATATCAGACGCTACTTGAGAAAGGTGAAAAGTAGAAACTCCATTCTACTTAACAAGGATGGTAAGAAATCACGTTTAACGAGAAAATAATAAGGAATCTATAGGGAGCCGACATTAAACGTAAGTCACAAGCGCATGTCGTCAGACAAGTAGACCTGACTGTCTAATTCAATTGATCAGAGTCCTTGTCGAGAAGCTGGCAGAACAGGATCCTAGCCAGTCAAAACATTCCCTGAATTTATGGGACTCGCACGTGGACCACCGTGTTAAAAACAGGCCACCTATTGCCTTATCCTGAGTCAGACAAATACACAACCTCACACCTATTTATTTAGAATCCACTTTAGTAATATCCTCCTATCTACGCTCAGGTATTCAAATTGGTTCTTAATTTCAAGTTTATACGTCGAAAACTTTTAATATTTTTTCTACCATGTAAGTATATTGAAAAATAAAAGTCTTTACCTTGTCAAATTTATTAGTAAAATGTAATTAAAGAAAGCCAAACTTTTAATGATTTCGAATCTTGGCTACCAAATTATTCTAAAATGTTTAATATTTATCTTCAGTCCGTTCGAGTACACTGAGGACAATACTGTAAGATAACCACAACTGCTTGTTTGAACATACTCGTTCTCAGTTTTAACCAACTCTTGATGGCAGAAACAAATTGCAACACGGGTAGCTCTAAGGTTCGCCATTGAGCACGATCCTGAGCCAGTTCTTTCCATCCCATTCTCCTAAAATTTACCTTAGTGCAATCTCCTATAAAATTATGGGCCTAGGAGCTGGAAAACCTGGGCAGAAACGACAACTTGGTAGACATACACGTATAACGGAGGAAAATATTTTAATGGGCGTTAAAGAAATATGAGCGTAGATTGGATTGAAATGTCTGTTAGGGTAAACGTGAACGTCGACATAATAATGAACTTTCTTCTTCCATAAATGAGAGGCATTCCTTGATCAGCTTTGTGACTGCCAGCTTATCAATAAGGGCAAGCTACATAATATTTAATGACATCTTCCCATCTCTTTTTGATTACAAACTGACCTCTTCCAAAGATGATTTCCCAACAAAATTCTATATTTCTGTATCAGTTCTTCTCTGGATGTTTTACCGATGGCGTTGTATTACCACTTTCTTTGTTTTGGACTTTATACATCATGTCTTCCTTTGCCATCAGGCACAGGGGAAGACACCTATTCTTTTGGATCCGGCGGACTGAGATATTCACAGAAAAAGACGGAGGAAGATCTATCTTTCGAAACGTCGTGATATTTAAGACTTAAACTGTTCAACAAACGACGGATAAAGTCCAAAACAAAAAGCAGTCGTACCAACACTGAGTCTACACTTTCACAGTTAACAATTCAAGACAATGCTATTTGAGAGCACATAAGCCTACGATTAACAAAATAATGTTCCTTGTATACACTGCAGATGGTTCGATCAAGGACAGTGGCGTCGCGTTCCAGAGCTTCTCCGGAGAGAACCCCCATCTCGTCATCCCTCTGCCTAGCAAACTGGCCGAGGGTCCACTGCCTCACCAATACTGCTTAAGCAAGGGGAGGCATTCCGGCAGCTTCTATCTCAAAGTGGGAGCCGCAGGTGGGCGGTAACTCCAGACTAAGTAAATACCATCTTCATCTAACGGTCCTGTATAATCTTCCTTTAATCAGAAACGACTTTTATATGGGTGTCAAACGTGATATTTCACTTTAAGGAGAGAACACAGATTGAGTGTGATTAAAAACAGGACGCTTTAGAAAATATTTGGAACCAAGACAAAAGAAGTGAAAGGAGACTGAAGGAAACAGCATAATGAAGAACCCAATAATCTCTGCTCTTCATCAGATATTATATTCTTATGATCAAACCGAGAATGATGAGGTGGGCGGGGCATGTAGCGTGCATGGGGATACGAGAAATGCGTGAACATTTGCCTGGGAAGCGTGGTTAGAGGAGACCACGATGAAGACGTAGATGGGAATACATTAAAATAAATATTAAGGAAATAGGAAGAAAGCTGACGATTGCATCCATCTCGCTCTGGATAGGGACCGACGGCAGGCTCTTGTGAACGTGGTAATGAACATATAAGTACCATAAAGAGCGGCGAATTTCTGTTCTGGTTGAGCGGACTATTAGATTCTCAAGGACTCTGTTCCACGGTTCTTTTAGTTATTTAGCTGGTGTTTAAGTAACTATACAAGGAGCCAGCTACAGCCAGCCCAACGACTAGTTGTGGATCTTGGTTTTCGTACCATAAAGGTCTACAACACCTCGTTCCGACCCCCTGAGACTGAGCCATAGAGTAGCGCACGACACGAGATGTTCAAAAATGGCTTATTATGGGTTTTTGCACCGTATAGTCTGATGCAAGTTCACCGGCGTTTCAGAGGCACTTGATACCTCCATCACCACGTCGATGATTCATCACTCTCCTAAACGTCAGTAAATTTCTACCAGACTAAACAGCACAAACCAGAAGACAGCCACAGTGATAACCTGAAATCACGAAATCTCACGAGATGTTTTAATGTTCCAGGTTTCTGCTTTGGCCATCTTATCCACAGTGGCCTCATGCTCGGTTACCAGATCGTGTATCTGCGAGCGGAAGGAGAAGAATTTTACAACTGCGCCAGCATCGCAACTCTCCTTCTAGACGTGCTTTATCCTGTGTATTCCTTCTTGCAATTGTTTTTCATATTTAAATATTCAAATGTAAGTGCCAACATTGACATTTCTTTTGTAGCTAAAGAGGCTACTCAAACATGAACACAAATATTTACGTAACTTTTTTCAATTTTATCTATTCAGTCGTGATAACATGTCTTTTGCAAAATACTGTTCGTATGTGCATAAAATATTCACTCTATTCTTAAGTTTTTATGTTTGAATATCCAACTACAAGTCGGATTCTGGATCTTAGGTAACGACGAAGTATTGGCCCAGATACTTAAACATAGCTATCAGCAAGTCGTATTTTATTTCTTTACAAAAACATATTTACTAAATTACAAAGCAGATAATTGTTGTTCAGATATCAAATTGTTGGAAACTTTTTAAAACTGAATATCATTTTCTGCTATTCAGGTATAAATATTAGTATTCAGAGTATAGAAAGACATAGGACTATCATTTGGAAGTGTGGAGAAGTTTGGGAACGATTATAGAAGTTAAGATTTATATTCTTGTTAACACGAAGAACAGAATAAATTTTAAACGCTATGCTTTATTCAGAACATTTAACTTCGTTTCAAAACTAATAATAAAATAAGCGGAGGAAGAAATTGGTAGGTTACACACGGTGATTTATACTGTTAGGTAAATAGCTTTTCAAATTTAGAAATAAACGGCAAATAAAATCAGTTTTTGTAATTGGAAGTCGAAGGATGAGAGAAGACGTTTACGATGACTTCAACGTATCATCGGTGAAGCACATCACCATATTATCATTGCGCTTTAAAACGTTTCATTCGGTATCATTACACAATTTTCAGATCCAAATGATCATGCATAAGTCAGGTTTTATGGAGTAATGGTTGCCTAAAATAAAAGTTTGTTTCCATAGTTTTTGTCTTTTTGGCTTCCTATTTATACTCTTTCTCATAATTCTCCTCTTTTTATATCTTTTCTGGTTTTGTTTCTCTCTTTACTGTTATTCTGAATTTTTCTTTAACATATCTTTTCCACTCCTCCATTACGTCCTACTTCTTCTTGCCTTCAATTTTGCATTTTCTTCAACTTTCCCTTATATTATTCTTCACCTCTTCAGCCTTCGTCATCTTCTTCCTATTCTTTCGTATTCATCTGCAATACCCATAAGAGCAATACAATTGTGGTTTCAGGGTCTGGAAGGAAGTTAAGACCTTTCCATCCCACATTGACCGTGAGGTATAGTTTACAACTTCTCCGAGTTTGCATAATGAGATACTTGTCAAGTCGCAAATATTACTAAGGTGGCCAGATAAAGAAGGAAGAGATGGAAATAGCACAAAAAGGGGTGGAGATAAATGCAAAATTTTAGTCGGAAAACGTGAAATGGAGTAGATCACTTGAGAAAACATGGAGTACACAAGAGAATAATATTAAAATGGTTTTAAAATAAACAGGATGTTGGCTAGATTACTGTAGCTCAGGACAGAGTCTGTTGGCGGGCTATTTGAACACGACAAAAAAAATCTGAATCCCACAAAACTATTAACAACAAGACCTCTATTCCATAGAGTTACTTAGAAGAAGTTTGATTCGTAGCCTACAAATTTTATCATCACGCTGCATTTCCAGGTGATCATCAACCGCTGCAAGGAATTGGCAAGATTCGCCCTGATGCACTGCATTGCTTCCAGCCTGTGTTTCTGGATTTGGACAATACTGAGGGAGACGTTAGATTCTCTCAATTCCTATGCCAAATATGATGACAACGCGGACGATGATGACAGAAGTGAAGAAGGTGATCTATTCGAGAACCCCGTCGCTCT